CCTTCCCTCCAGCGCGGCGGTAGTTCCGAGGCATTGCATTACTTTAAAAAATAGACAGCGTCTACACTTTGCTTTGCGCGGAAATAAACGTTGCAGCTTGTTTTTTTCGCCTATGTCACTTGCGGATTTCCAAGTACTGCGTCCAGTTATTTCTAGGGTGGGACCGTCTCAGTGTCCCCGATATTGAAAAGGAACATATTCCAGGAAGTTTCAGTATATATGGGACGGTAGCAAGCAGTCACCATCTCCATATTTCGTCAGGTGGACTAGGGGTGGGTAGACTCGATCGACTTGCGGGACTATTGACCTCTAAAATTTACACTGATTGGCTGTCCCTGTATGTCTACTTGCCGTAGCCTTGCAGGTCCTCTTCATACCTTGCCATACCTCTCAATCAGGATAACCCCCTAGTCTTCGCGGGTACCTCACCTGTGTAACCATCGAACACTGCAGTTGGGTTCTAGTATTAATTTCAAATCTACTGTAAATGGTATTTGGAGAGTGGGGCAGAGAAGGTGAGAACGAGGAATTAATTAAGAACATAAATGGGGTCTTGTTGCCTTGTTTTTGTAGTTGTAAATTCACCAAAACATTAGATTTTTTGGGCCTTTTCACTGTCGGCAGTTGTAAAGGCAGGGAAGATTAATGGCGGAAAACCTCTTCTTCCACTATGGTCATTTAACTACAACTTTTATATTTATTTCTAGTTTTTGTTGTCTTTTTGTGCCAATTGGCTAACCGCTTTCCTGATTTCGAACGATTATCTATTTACAGCTGTTGATGCACCACATCCGAGACTGTCTGCCAGAACTGAAGACCCGCGTCAACGTTATGGCAGCCCAGTTTCAGAGTCTACTCAACTCCTTTGGTGACGAGGTCGAGGACAAAGTGAGCGATTTTTGCTATCCCCACCACCCTTTTTTCACGCAGAAAAATGTCGCAAAATCTTAATTTTTCCGCAAAATTTATCTCCCCCCTTTCCTTTTGCACTTTTACAGGTATCGGAACATCTGCCCCTTTAATCCTGCTCACTAGCCAAGTCTGGTATCCATGTTAAACAACCAAGGGTAGGGATTGTTAGCTGGGGGACATTGATAGCTTTCATTCAGAGGGGGTAATTCAGCCGTGTCAGTGAAAGGATCATTACCTGTGGCGCAGGTTTGAGTTTTGGAAAGTCATTGTACGTACCCACGTACTTCAGCAAGTTCCGCAATTAGGGTTTTGGTTTGCCGTGGGTTTGGCTATATTCGTAGGATCCAATGTTTCTTTCGTCGTCATTAGTGATGACGTGGCGAACACGTCATGCAGTCTGGAGAACCTTGGACTGACTGGTATGGGTCATCAATGCAACCTTTAATTAACAATGCCAGGGCCTTTATCTCCGGCGGGCTCCTCAGCATTACAGAAGAAGCAGATCCAAGTAGGGTTAGAGCACATGAGATTTCGAACTGCAAAGTCTGGCATCATACCGACAGGTATGCGTTGATTATTGTGTCTGCGTTCGCCTCGAGTGGGAATCCTTGCAGGCTCGGATGATTTGGCAAGTTGCCGTAGGTGGCATTTCTGAAACAATGTTTCGTCTAGGAAGGATTACGTAGGCGGGATTGTAATATGGAGTACCGTACAGCCCAATTCCAAGATGCGTAAGTCGCGTTAGGATGCCGGCTTTTGAATGCGTTTCTGTCCAGCCGTCTGGTAAAGATGACTACCTAAAAAGCAGGATTGTTCCCTTTGGCTTTTACTCATATTATAAAAATCAAACGTACATTTTACTGAATAAATTTGCGAAAATATCCTTTCTTGTACCAATTTCGGGGTAAATTGCGTCTTTAAAGTTTGTACCGGAAGCAAAATTATCTTCTTTTTTTCAACTCCCGAATAATTTAGAACTAGACCTGCCGTCGTGTTTGTGTTTAAGGTTTTGAACTAACAAACTGAATGCCTTCCGCACAAGGAGACTCGTAAAATCTTATTATGAAGGTACAGTAGCTTCCGTGTCTCGCCCAATATCAACAAAAATTAAAAAAAAGTGTTTCCGATCGGAACGAAATACTCAAGTAGAGTTGCAATACTAATTAGTCTGCATCCTGATCTCGAGATGCTTCAGTTACACCAGGATGCCGGCTGTTAAATGAGCCTCTTCCTAACCGCCTGCAAATAATACACTCAGCACAAAATGGCTACTCAAGTACTATGCCTTTTTCTCATTTATTTTCACTGCTATCATAAATCAAAATCTATTTTTATAGGAAATATGTATGAAAGCGTTCACTCTTGTATGGGCTTCGTAGTAAATTACACGTTCGGTCGAAATTTAATCAGATAGAGAATCTACTGTACCATAGAGGGTTCACGGAATTTTGCAGTGGGTGTTGTATGCTTCACAAGGAACACTAATAAGCGGACAGATATGGTAATATTTTGATGAACACACTCCGTCACGCCTGCCGCCGTCTTCCGTTGTGAACAAAAGGAAGCGTGCTTTTCGCTTCAGAACGGAAAATCTGTAGTGCCTTTCCGTACTGTCACGTCAGCAGATGGTCTCGCCTGCAGTTTCGTCCACCCGAGCTCTACACTGTTTTGCCTTTTTTCCAGGGCCATCTTCTACTACAAATCATCACCAAGTTCAATACAGCCTACTGCAGCACCATAGATGGTGTAGCGAAGGATATCGAGACCACTGAGCTCTGTGGTGGTGCCCGTATCTGCTACATCTTTCACGAGACCTTCTACTCTACCCTTTATCGGATTGACCCTCTTGGTGGTCTGAGCACCCTGGATATCTTAACGGCTATCCGCAATGCCACTGGTCCTCGACCCGCTCTATTTGTGCCTGAAGTAGCCTTCGAGTTGCTGGTAAAGCGTCAGATACGTCGGCTGGAGGAGCCCAGTCTACGCTGCGTGGAATTAGTCCACGAGGAAATGCAACGTATCATCCAGCACTGTGGCGCCCAGGTAAGCCTGTTCCGCTCATCTTCTCCCTCCTCCTCCCCCCCTCCTCCTCTTCCTCCTCCTCTTCCTCCTCCTCCTCCTCCTCCTCCTC